TTTCTGGTGAAAATGTGTTAATATGGTGCTAATTACACCCACCACTAAACCGTTTTCCAGAGACTGATATCAAAACTGGTAGAGCTTTCAACAGTCTTTTGAATTCAAAAGAAATGAAACCTTTGACTCAAACTCAAAATACATCTCCACATCAACCTGTTAGCACACACACTATTTACAACTTAAAAGAATACTATTAAAGGTCCGTTTTACACATGAATTTAAATAAAATGTCTAGCCAGAATAAAAATAATAATAATGACATCTAGGATTAATTATCTTTTAACAAAAGAACACAAAGAATATTCTCACTTTCAAATGTCAGCTATGATTAGTATATTTTTATTCTGCGGTATTGTCTTGTGCCGTGTATAAAGCATTGATCCAAAGCCTTTCCCCAGCTGATTAATCAATTGGTTGAGTAATCACTTTAATGAGAGAAACCATCCTTATGAAGTCATTCATATTCAGTCTTCATGCACACATAAATTATATATTACACATTGTCATTAAAAAATGTTAATCGTTAGGTCCAACTTGTAAGATGATGTCAGTAGTAATTAATAAGAAGTTAATTATGTTTTATATTCAGACAATGTGATTAAAAAAACCTTTTCTCTAACTAGACCAAAGTTCTTGTCAGGAACAGGCTGCTTCTAATTAACAATGATCATTCAAGAATTGTAGAACCTCTAATAAAAAGTCTATTTATATTTAGTCATAGTTCATTTGATATACTGATTTGGCCAGCTTTTCGGATGTGACGTTCCAGTGATGTTTTGTATAGGTCTTGCACTAATGCTAACTTGCACTTGTTACTGCTAACAAACTGATTGCTCAGCCTTACATCACCTGCACATCAGCTGGCTCTTTGACACCTTTATGCTTGTAATGTATTATCTGGTTCACGGGTACCACAATTTGGACAAAAGCATCCGCAAATGTAAAATTATGCCCAAAACATGTTTTAATTTGTTGATAAACAAAATAATTTTCAAATGCATTGATTATTTAAAATATCTAAAAAAAATACATTCTGCATATAATTGTGTCTTGATAATTACATTAAGTACTGTAGCTATTTTAAACCAAGATTAAGCTTAAAGTAAATTACTGAAATAGGAACAATCACTGTGCTCAATTTAATTATGGATCATTAACTGAAAGATAAAAAATAAAAATAACAAATCATTGGCAGTGTTTTGGGAAACGAAGGGCATTGCCAAAACTGGGTATTAAAAACCTCACATCACTATCACTGCCTTCTGAATTCTAAACACGACTTTCTTCATATTATTAAAAAAACAGAGAAGCGGTAGCTTTATTTCCGTTTTTGTTCACCAGGCTGATGGGAAGCACGTCGCAATAAGAGAACATTAACGAATGAATAACTGTTGCACTTCCAGCATTGAGATGACTTTAATGGGTCAGGGCAGGGGTTACGCATGCAGGTCACCAGGGGCGCTGAAATTTGCCAGGGCCTCAGGATTTAATGGATTAACTTTAAATCATTAGAGATTCCCAAACATGGCCTGAAGCAGCTGCAGATACTGCAAAACCCGAGGCATTCCTAGTCTGAAGTTTGACTTCTGCCTTAGGGAAATCCTTCTGTTTCCATGAGGCAATGCCGTACTCTACAACTGAATCCCCAAATAATTAACCTACAAACAATGTCGCAGTACAGATGTCCGAAATTATAAAAACTATTTGATTTCTGGCTAGCTATTTACAGAAACGAAATTACTGCCTAAAGCAAGTTTACTACAGGTTATGCAAGGAACTTTGCATATATTTATATATCTTAATGATTTAGACAAAAATTTTACATGCACCTTTGCAGAATCGAAGCATGGGCCGTCCTCAGAGACCCCTGTCATCCAGGGCACTTACTGTTGAAGTGGAGGGGGACCGGGTATAACCTCAGACACCCAAGACCAGTAATCCAGCAAGCAGTGATCAGGTACTCTCACTCCATCCCAGTCTGAATGGTACTGGTGACACTCAAGCCCCCATTGCTTATTTATTTATTACACAAACTCACTGTTATCTAATTCTCTGTGTGTATTTTCCATATTTTTCTGAATATAAGACGATCCCATTTATAAGACGACCCCCACCCCCACACACATACACACTTTTCGGCAACTATTTTTTAGAAGAAAACTTTTTGCAATACTAAATCTTACATTTAAAGAGAAAAATGATTTAATATGACAAAAGCATATAATAAGTTAACCAGCAACCTATGAAATAAATGATAATTGATGCATGTGAGCATTGCATATAATTTACACCAACCCTTTTTGCATTGGCAGCTTCAAATTTTAAATTAAGCGTCACATGAACACATGAATCTTAAGCATTCTGTTAATTCATAAAAAACTCATTGTTTATATGCACGTAATTCCATATTCATGTATTTAGATTATGCGGATAATTATTGTCAGTGGATAATTATATGGATAATATCTTTCAGAAGTGTATCCTGTACAGAGTGTACCCCAGCGTTGTGTCCTGTGCTGCATGGGGTAGACTCAACCACCAAAGCCCACCCCCCCAATTGACCCTGCCCTGGAGAGGCATTCATAAGTTGGATGAATGGACAGAAGGATGGTGGATGTATAATTTACAGTGCCTTCGTTCAGTTAACTGGACTTTTACCTGAAAAATTACCTAAAAAAAATGAAGAATAAAAAAAAAAAAAAAACTCCAGGTACTGTAGCTCAACAATTGGAAGAGTGGCATTAAAAAATGCACGAGAAGCATACATGAAACATACATGAAACATACATGAAACATACATGAAACATACATGAAACATACATGAATACTGTGGATGAGTCGCATCACTCAGATTAAACAGATCTGTGACCATTCCAGCCATAAATGAGAAAAAAAAAACAAATTCTGACACTATCCCAACAGTCCGTAGTGATAATAAGCACATCAGCAGTGTCTGAAATGGCTCGTTCTGATTTCAGGGAAGTCATACCAAATCTTGGTTGTTAAGTGCATCCCTGTGACGCCCTAGTAGGCTGATACAGTGTGAATCGAGAGTGATGATGTCATAAACACAACACACTCTGGCCCACACAACAACCGATGACCCATCTCATCTTTTGAGGTTATACCTGTGCCGTGTTGCTGCGGATTTATCATATTTCAGCAAAGGTTATGTTTAAGCCATGCCTTCCGTCATTGCATCCTTAAAAGAAGACTAAATTAATATTTTGTTCAGCACTAGTTAGAATAACTCGGTGACCTCTCAGTTAATGGTGTCCATTTGCCAATGACCTTTTGAACCAAAACACTGCTAAGAATAAAGAATAAATGACCTTCTTAAAGCAATTTTTATAATGGATACTCCCTAGCTCAGTGGATGCCTATTGCATAATCAGGCAATCCTTACCTACAGCTACTACCTGTAGCACTGACCTGGTCTCCAGGATCACTACTGTTTGATAGAATTATTCACAGATATGAAATATATTACCCTGGATGATACACATTTTTTTTTGTATTCCACTGAAACAAAAGATAATTGTCAAGTATGGCTACCATTAAAAGTCAGATCTTTATCAAAAGTATAATCAAAGTGAGGATTTAATTATGCAGCTATAAGACAGGGAAAGTCTTTGGAGGACTGAAACAGAGATGATTTCTGAGCTTCCACCCCCACATTAAAACATTTTTTTTTTTTACATAGTAAATGGATAAGGAGCCAATACGAGGCAAAACTTCAAGATTGGTGAGGCAGCCCTTCATTTGCATACACAAAAGAAGATTCTTTAAATAGCAAAAGCTTTGCATATGCCTCATTGGATTTCATAGAATAACAATTATAATTGAAACTATACAATAAACGATGAGAAAACATGGTCACTGGGAAGATTGGGAAAGGTTAACAAAATGCAGCCATACATGTCATGGTCACATTTTGCCGATTTTAACTCAAGTTTTGTGGTACTTGTTTTACCAGTTTACCAACAATTTTATACATACCAATAACCCTCATTTAAATAATGTTAAAAAAAGCAGTTAAAAAAATTATATTACTACTTATAGGAATCAAACTGGAAGAAAATGTGTTTTGTCCTTCTACAGAAACAGAATATTATGGCCTATGGGGCGGGTTTATACTGTCCACTCATTAGTGCTTATTAAGCAGAGGGCCCCACAGGGCACACTGATAAGCACAGCATGGAAATATAAGGTTTGGTTCGCTGTTTATACAGAATGAATGAAAGTCCATGCAATGTGCCTTTCCAAACTGTGGAGGCTTTGACCTCCAACTGATGCACACGTTAAATTCGGTATAAGCCGTTAATGTTCCATGGATTAGAATCTATGGTCAAAAGGCTTCAAGTCCAGCTGGATGTTTTAATAAGAAAAAATATTTATAAAGTATCTACTGACTGGGATTTGTGAAGCATAATGACTGGATAGAAGTGTTTGTGGGAGACGCTGGCCTTCAATCAAGGTGTGGACTGCTTCTCTGTTTCCCACCGTCACTGCGATGGGAGATCGGCACTGTGCCACGTGCAAAAGAATGACCAGACGGCGTCAGTCCACATCCAGACAATCAGCAGGTTCCTCGTGTGAAATATCCTAACTTATTGACAATTAATTAAAGTGCCCTGCTGGATTCTGGACATTTCCTACACCGTTGGTAAACTCTTAGTAAGTACAAAAAAAGCTTTTATGTTTTATTCAAGTTCCAAATTTTATATTTCTACTGCTGCTACAGATACATCTGTGATAGGCTTCTAGCCACTAAGACTGAATTGAGAGGACTATCCTACATAAGCAATAAGGGGAATTGGATTAAGATTTTCAATGGGGGAAAAAAAGAACAAACTCACATGAAATGGTACATGCAATTGTTTTTTATATTAGAAATGAATAAATCATTTCCTTCCACAATGACATGGATTGTCCTGTGTTTCACATGTTGCTTTATGCAGTGTTCTGCCATTTTTAACTCGTCAAGGGCAGAACCTTTAAGCATCCTTGTTTTTCTAAAATCAGAGACAGAATAACATGTAAGGCATCATGAAACTGCATTTACCAAAGCATTTGCACTGGTGTGCTAAAGAGATCCACTTGCTTCACTTACAGTACACTTCATTGCTGCCCCATTCCATGTACACTGTAGCTGCTAACTCACAGAATTCAAACTAATTTATAGGATATTTTCCCGAATCATTCACAGAATTTGGAAGTATTTATTTGGAAAAGGATATTTGGAATCATTTCATGTTACATAAACTATTGATTTATACATCTGAATTTGAAATACTCTATATCGAAATGTTTTAAAGGGACTTTAAAACTAGCAGGTCAACTTTCAATGGCACAAGGAGCATGGGAGGTTTCTTTAAGCAGTGAAGCAGTGATTCACCAAAAAAAATAAAGTAACATTCATATCACATAAAATATCATTTCAATGTCAATATATCAATGCAATGTCCATTTCAATGTGAAAACAAAGAAGGGCAGTGATTTAAAAAAAAATATCTGACAAAATATTGTGCAAAATGGCCTGGATAAAAACAACTTCAATAAAGCAAAACATTTCTAAGCTAGTTTTTATTGCATTTCTCATCACTTTCTAATTAGTAGCTGATTAGATAATTAATGAATACGATGCATTTTTAATCCCACCGAGTGAAGCAGTATCTAAACTAGTCTCGACCCAAAGAAGACTGACATGTTTAAAAATTCAGAACATAAATCCAGCCATTTCTATAATGATTGTATTTCAGGAAAAGGTACACCTGTCGAAAACTGTTAAAAACATAATTTTTCTCAGCATAACCACCCAAGCATCAGCTAACCAGGTCAATAGTCACACAGCTGCGGGCTCGCTAACAACCAATAGAAAGAGACTGCTGTGCAATGACTATTTGAATATTTACAGTAATGACTAATATCATCAGGTCTAAAATTATGTTTCTGCACATTCATAATGGGGTTCAATTTTAGGACCACTATTATTCCTAATTTACAGTATTGACACCAATATATACAGTAAACTGGTTAAATTTGCAAACAACACCAAGGTGGGTTGTGTAGCAGATACTGAACTAGCAGCACAGAGGCTACAGCTGGATCATAATTTAACAGGTCTGGATGATGCTCAACCAAATAGTTACTTCAATATTAGTTCAAATATAAAAACTCGTGGCCATAGGTAGAAATTAGTGACAGAACATTTTCAACTGGATTTGAGAAAGCACTTCTCTACACAGCATGTAGTTAGGATATGAAATATTCTTCCTGTTAGTGTAGTGCAAGTTAAAACCTTGGGTTCCTTTAACAGAGCTAGATAAGATTTGAACAACTTTAAACTATCAGTTCTCCCCAAATGAGCTTGATGGGCCGAATGGCCTCCTCTTGTTTGAAAATTTCTTATGTTCTTATACCCTGAGGGATCAGTTGGATCAGTAGCCACCATTAATAAAGAGATATTTGATTATTGTCCAAAAATTTTCCAATGCGCACACCTTGAAAAGGGCTCATGCGGGCGATCAAATTAGTTCCAGTAAACTACTACAATGAACTATCTTTAATTACTGCTCTTCCAATTAGAAATGTCATAATCTGAAGTTAATTTAGGGAAACAACACAATTAAGATGACTCACCCAGTCACGCAAACAACCTACCAAGTGAAATTGTACTCAGTCCATGGATGGTGGTGGAAGCAAACGTAGTGGCTACAGGGACAAAATACAAACTACACAAATACCGAGCTGAGGTCGAATTTTTAGCCACGTCCCCAGTTGAGAAGATGTATGACCCTAATCTAAAAAATATATTAAAAAATGTGCAGACAAACTGGCAGTAATATCGATGAACTGCACTTTTATTAGTTTCACTTTGAAAATCCCCTGAAAGTAACATTACATTGCTACTATTTTGTCTGGTGCTGTTAATCAAATGGGGGTAGAAAAACAGCCCATTAGTCGCCCCCCCACCCCCCACCCCAATAAAAAGTTCTGTGTTTTTGCCTCACCCAGATGTTTCCGTCCTGGTGGTATGGCTTCCAGTTCCTTCCGGTGTCGCTGTACAGGAGCCTGTACCTCGTTGTCCAATCAGAGCTGCTGTATCTGCCTTGTGTCGCAATGGCTGTCACTTGTTTCCTGCTGCCCAGGTCCACCTGTAGCCACTGGTAATGATCGCTGTCCAGAGGAGACCATCCACCAGCACCTTAACAACAGAGAATGATTTTTAAATGAAACTGTACATTAGAATTTGTACAAGCACATCAGAATGTGTTTTTCATATATGCCAACTTCCCTTTTTAAAAGGCATGCACATCATATACAGGTGAGAGTGAAGCTTGAGATCTGAACGCAGGGCCAGTCATCAATCCAGGGCTGCTTCAGGCGTTTTTGGGAGGTTAAGGACCTTCTTTGCTCAGGGACCCAACAGACGTAGCTATTCTGCTGAGCAAAGGATTCAAACCAGTGGCCTCAACCCACCAAGCTATGCACTGCCTGACAGAATCACACATATGTTGAAAATCACCACACATATCGCACTAGTTACACTCACCGGTATGAGAACTTTGGACTAACAAGAATTACCGTTTTTATGTTCACCAGCTTACTGCTTAAATCATGCTGTTTTCTTTGGTTATTTAAGAACAAATGATTCTTGATCGTAGCATCTGTGGTCTTAGCTGACACATTCCGATAACAAAAGAAATCAAGCAAAAGAAAACTGTCATGAAAATTAAACTAACCATGCTCTCAAGCTTTTATGGAATTTCAGCCGCACGTCAATGTCGAGGATTCATCCGAGGACCGTACTGGGGCACTCAATGCTGTTTGTATTCTCAATCACATTTTCAATCTCAATGACTCACAAGAGACAATGTCCTCTGTCAGGCATAAGCAGTTATCAGGAGGAAATGTTTTGCCATTATTTTGCCTGAATATGCACTATATCTGTAGGGAAGCATAAAAATATTCACTCATAAAAAAAAAAAGCAACAGATGTTCTTTTCTAACAATCCTCGACCGCTGCCTGTCTGGCCGACGATTAAGAGATGGTGCCACAGAGCATTTTTAAGAAAATTCTTCCTAGTTAATTCCCCTTTTTCCCGCGTCATCATTGGCTTTTGTAAATAAGGCACTTAGAAAAGAGCACCGTCGGAATTTCTGATAGCCATCTTACACAGAGCAAGGGAATCGGCGTGAGGGATACAAAAAAACAGAACAATCCAATGCCTAACTCAATTAAATGGCCATTACTAGCAGGTACCAGATAAACAAGAAATATCATTGAAAAATCAATGCTTCTAAATCTAACCTTGAGAAGATCGCAAGGCGGGTAAATAGTCGCCGAATGCTGAATAGAGATAAAACTCAAGAAAAAACAACATGCTAGAGGTCATCAAGCACACTTTCAGAGAAGACGTTGTGAGAACCAGAGGCGCAACAAAGCAAAAAAGACAAGAGAGCAGGACGTCTAGTGAGAGGGACCAAATGTCATCTAAGCAGATGTTTACAGGAGATATGCAGAAGAGAAGCAGGGCGGCTGGGAGAAGATCAGGAGGCAGCTGGATGGGCACGAGCAGGTCACTGCAGAAGCTGCAGTGCAGCGCAGCTAAATATCATGTGTAATTTAGTGTGCAACCAGATATGCCACAATTTCCCAAGCGGCTGATAAAAACTCGGAGGAAAAAAGGAAAATGTCAATGGCCTTTAACATTTCTTCACCTCTAACATATTGACTCTTTGAGACATCTTGGCCCCTCTCTGCTACTATTAATATACCCACAAATGTTAGTACTTTAGCACATAAAACACGGTGCTCACATTTGTCTGAACTTTTCAGGATAGTAG